TAAAAGTTCTTTTTCAGCTTTTAATCTAACATTGTCAATTCCATTATTTTTAAATAATCTCATCTAATGAACATTTTATGTTTTCTTCATTAGAATTATATTCTTATTTTTCCCAAAATGTAAAAATATTCCAAATTACTTTTGTAATTTTTTATTTAACATATATTGTTATTATTTATAGATGAAGCATATTATGTAAATATAACTAATTTATATATAAAAACATAAATAGAGTTAAAAATTTTAAAGTTGAAGAGTTGAATGTGATTAAAAAAAATCGAAATTTTAGCGAATAATTGTTATTGGTATTCTTTTTGATTAAATTCATAAGAATTCTTCTATTCAAGCTAATAGAATAATTAGGATGCACATAGGAACAATAAGATTTATATCATGCAGAACAATAATATTATTCAACTTCATAGACATTAAAGGATGGTATTTCATCTCTTTTTATTTTTATCATACTAAGTGATATTAATCATGTTTTTAATTTTAAATTAAATACTATTTCAAATTATCTATATAATCAACTTCTTTTTTAGAATTAGGTAGTATTAATTAATCTCATCTTACGTTTTTTGGCCTAGATTTATTTAATCTATGATAAAAACTCAAAGAAGTGCAATATAATAAAAGCCTTTCAATATTTATTCTAGGTAATGTATTTTATTCAACATTAATATTCATTTATTGAAATTATATTTTTAGGTTTTTATTCTTATCAGTAGTAAGACCTTAATAATTAACCAAATTTTATTCAATTAAAAAAATTAGCTAAATTCCAGAAATATTAGGTGTAATTTTAATTGAAAGAATGTATGCTACATCAATTATTTTTATAAAATCAATCTCAAAAATTTCAATAGTTCAATGCTTTGATTGAACTAATTATGTTAAATGCCTTAAATGTTTTCTGGCCTTCTCATAAGTAGATTTAATAGAAATTGCTCTATTAAAGCACTCAATAGCTGCATTGTACCTTTTTACATTTTTTAAAGTAATCCCTAAACATAAAAATTTAAAGAAACCTTTATTAAAGAAGGCTTCCTCATAATTTGGTCTAATTTATATCGCTTTATTGTAGCATTCTATGGCTTCGTCATAACGTTTTAATTTCCTTAATGTGGTTCCTATAATTCAAATATTATATATGAAAGGTACCTTTGTTCAAGTATGCTTCCTCATAATTTGGTTTATAAAATATAGCTTTATTGTAGCATTCAAGTGCTTCATTGTATTTCTTCAAATTCTTTAATGATATACCTAACGATTTGAAAAATCTATAATACCCATATTATTATATGCTTGTTCAAAATTAGGTTTGATGGATAACGATTTTTTGTAACATGTAATCGCTGCATTGTATTTTTTTAAACTCTTTAAAGAAATTCCTAAAGAATTTCATTGCCTTATATAATATACCTTTATTAACATATGCTTCTTCAAAATTAGGATTGATCAATATTGCATTGCTAAAACTTTAGACAGCTTCTTCATGTCTTTTTAATTCCTATAATACTATTCCTGTAGGAAGAAATAAATTTAATACATACCTCTTTGAAAATAAGCTTGCTCATAATTTGATTTAATTAATATAGCTTTACTATAACATTCAAGAGCATCATGAAATTTTTTTAAATTTTTTAACACAAGACCTAAAAATAAAGAATTTTATGTAAACCCTTGTTAAAATATGCTTCCTCATAATCTGGTTTAAACTATACTGCCTTATTATAACACTCAATAGCCTCATAATATCGTTTTAAATTCTTTAATGAAATTCCTATTAAATTAGATCAAAATATCTATACCCTTGTTATTGTATGCTTCTACATAATTTGATCTAATCGAAATTGCTAAGACAAAACATTCGAGGGCTTCTTGATATCTCTGTAGTTCATGTAATGTTATTCCTAGTTTTTTTAATTTAAAAGTTACCTTTATTCAAATGTGCTTCTGCATTATTTGAATTAATAGAATTAACTTTTTTATAACATTCAAGAGCTTCAATGAATCTTTTATTTTTATTTAGTAAAATCCCTTTTCAAATAAAATTTTAAAAATACCTTTACTTAACCATGCCTCTTCATAATTTGGTTGAATCTATATTGCCTTATCAAAGCATTAATTAGCTTCATCGTGTTTCTTTAAATAACTTAACGAATTCCCTTATAAAAATTAGCTCTAAAAATACCTTTATGAAAATATGCTTTCTCATTATTTGGATTAATTATAATTGCTTAATTAAAACATTCTATAGCTTCATTATATTTCATTGAGTTCTTTAGTGAAACCCCTAACTTTATAACTTATTTAATTTTACCCAAATTTAATTAGTCTTATTCATAATTTGGCCTAAAATCATTAGATCTATCAAGGTAATTATTAGTTTCGTTATATTGGTGTAAATTAATTAATGAGCTACCTAATTTTATTTTAAATTAATACATCTATTTGAAAAATTAATTTCTCTATCTTCTAACATTGTATTTATAGAATCTATAATTTCATTCATTTTCAATCTTTCTTCTTAATTAATTTTTAAAATTTATTTTAAGATATCACTCTCTAATTTTGTTAATTTTTTATTTTAATTTATTAATAGATCCACTTAGATTTATGAAATTCTAACATCATTATCGCATTGCTCTAAAATTTATTAATTAAATAAGGGTTATCCAATTAAAATTTCATAAAATATGGCTCCCATAGACCATATATCAATTGAGTAACCATATTCTTCTTTCATAAATTTTACTTCTGGTGCCATATATGAAGCTGTTCCAACATTAGCTGTTTTTATTGTTGCATTTGTATCTTTAACCAATCCAAAATCAGTTAACTTTATGATTGTTTTATTTTCTTAATCAAAAAAACAAACAAAGTTTTCTGGTTTCAAATCTCTGTGAATATAATATAAACTATGTAATTCTTTCACTCCTTCAAGCATCTAAAAAGCATTCTTAAATTTTATTACTTAAAGAAATATGTCATATTTTTGATAACTTTACAAATCCATAAATTCTTAATTTTTCATGTAATCCTTAAAATTACAATTTGCATATTCCATAACAATAAATGGTTCAAGATATGGTTTAAATTCTACATTTCCCAATTTTATGCTCTAAATTTATTTTGGATATAGATTGATCTCATAAATCTAGACAATATTTAAAAATTTTTCATTTTTCAATCTAAATAAACAATTTACTTATCCATCATTCAATTTAGTTTTAAATTATTTTACAGCTACCTTTCTTTCTGTTCCATGAATTTTGCCAACATAAACTTAACCTTCAGTCCCACTTCCTAATTCCTCATACCTAATAATGTTCATTTTCTCATTATTTGAAATCGCATAAAACATTTTCTTTAAAATAATTTCTAATTCTATAAAAAATTTTCCTAATAAACACTATTTGTTTCCTTTTTTATTTTTTATTCAAAACTATAATGTTTCATAAGTAAAATACAATGATATTCATCAATTGATTACTTAAATAATGAAAACTATATTTAGTAAAAAAATTTTAATAATTTTCTATTTTTTTGTTTCTTATCCTTTGAGAAATATTTTTTTATTTTTATAAAACCTCAGCAATATTTACTATATTGTTAAGGATACCAAATTTATAATATTTTTACTGTTTGATCAATGTTTTAAAACAACTTTAAACCCAAATATATTTTTGATTTGAATAGAATTGAATCAATTATAAAAATGGATCTAAAAAATATTATTGGAATATGATTTGTATGAACAAATTTCCCTTCAATTAAAATAATAGAATCCTTAAATATTTAAATAATGATATTTAAATTCAAAAAAGTAAATTGTACTTCAATTTTACAATCCTTTTTAATTTTTTTTATCTCAATTTTAATAATTAACAAATTAAGATTATGATAAATGAAAAATAATTTATTAATTTGAGAAGAAATAATTAATAATGCTTAACTTTAATAATGTTAAAATATTAGAAATTATAATTCAAAATAACTTTTATGTCCAGAAATGCATAAAAAAGATAGATAAAATAGTAATTTGATATTTGCAAAAATTTACCTGAACTATCAAATAATGAATTGAATGATTTTTTTAAACATTGTTTTTATGTATTTTGTAATGCTTAGTAGAAACAAAATGATTTTTCAACCAATAATTTCTTAATAATACTTTGGTTATAATTATGAAAATACTAAATTTGGAAAATAAAACGCTATTTTTATGGTTTATTATTATTTGCTCTCTCTTTCAAAAAGATATTTAAGATTAATTAATAATCCCGCAAAATTTGCAATCTGATTATAAACTAAGAATGATTGAAAAGATATTTATAAGATATAGAATGTTTATAATATTGAAAATTGAAAATTTAGATAAGGAAATTGAATAACAATATTTCAAATTTAAATAAAATATCAAATGGAATCTAATTAGACAATATATTTCTATAATTTGGAGGATTAAATTATTTTCCATTTCTTAAGATTCAAATCAATCTTGTTTATTATCATTAAAATATGATAAGATATTTATACTAATTGTAAAAATCCATAAACTTAATCTCTTATTAAATATTTGATTTGAATTTGTTAGTCTAAGTTTTGGAATAAGATTTAAGAGAATAGAATTCTGATTCAATATTTTATAGGTTTATAAATACCCTAAAAAGTAGTCAAGTATCTAATAGAATAAAAATTACAACAGAAAGTGCAGATTACATCTACATTCAATTAAGTTATAAAAAGTAATAAGTTATTGCCATTTTAGTTTTTAAGATTACATATGAGAAAATTTTGAGAAAGGATTAAATTACAGTCAAAAACTCAAAATGGCAGAATAAGCTTCTATTTTAGATTTACTCCATATTGAACTTTATTTAAGAGATTGCATATATAAAAAATCTAAGAACAATTTTTTATTTAAGCTTAAATAGTTTTACACCCAATCTATCGATTTAAATTTTTTATAAGGTTGATTCTTTGTTATGAGAACAATAAATAATTTAATGATTTATTAACCATACCCAACAGTTCCAAGAAATCAATTAGAAATATTTAGTATTACTGAATGATTTACAAAATAATTGAAATGATTCAAATAATATAATTCAATGGATCTCAAATTTTCAAAAAATTATATCGCTGATCAACCTAATTCCTGTTATTATTTAAGCAAATTTTAAGATGTATTAATGTGAAGCTTGTATTAACTTTTCCATTATTAATTTAAATTTAAACTAAATTGATCTGAATCCTAATGATTACTAAATTCTAAGAAATGTATTTAATTTAAATTATATAATAATTTAATCAGTATTAAAACGCTAAAAAAACTTAAGGTCAATTCTAACCATATATGATTAAAACAGTTTTGAATGTTTTTTTTACTTAAATCAAAAAACTATATTTTTATTCTCTCTATAAGCTGTTTGGATGATTGCAAATATTATATTTGATTAAACACTGTTATTTGTAAAGACAACTACGATAATTAATTTAGTATAATTAAATTTATTATCTTAACATATGTCATTCATATCATCTATTAGTTGTTTAACTGCTAAAAGCAATTTTAACATAATTTCAGAGAAAAAAATAAATTTCATTTCAATTGAATTTTTAAATTTATTATAGGTATCATAAGTATGTTCATATTAAGCATCGCTTTAAAAAATTAAAGAACAATTAATTTTTGAATGGTTTAGTTATCTTAAATACATTATACCAATTTATTTCATTTATTTAGAATGAATATGTTCAAATTCAAATGAAATATTGATTTTATTTTGCTCTGCTTGATAAAATTAAATATTTTAATTGAAATTTTATTTGATGAAATAATGTGTAATCATTAGATGTGTAAATTCTTCTTATGAGATTATTTTTTCTTTGATTTTAGATTTTAATTAGTTAATAATAGGTATATTAAAGTTCTCTAATTATTTTTCTATATGGATTTAAATTATTGATCAACTTTTTTATTTAAATTACATTTCTTGTTAAATTTTATTTCCTTTGTTAAGTCTTTTCCAATTAATGAAGAAAAATCGCAATATGACTTATAAACATTAGATATTAATAATTTTTTGTTTAAATTTAAATGTAAGGAACATTGAGAGAAACTCAAATACATTTAACTAATCCACTTCCTGAAGAAAATTTGATTTAAAATGTCTTTGAATCTCTTGTAAGAGAATTTAAAGAGTTTCGAGCAAATGTACCTATAGGTTGTATAACAAACAAATGCTCATCAAAACAAAAAGAATAATAGGATCTAAGTATGTTTTGTGGAGCTGGTGGATATCTATATTTATATTTAAGAATTTATGAATTTGTTTAAACTTTACCTGAAGAACTTCAATTTTTTTGTAC